AGGGCCTGTCTTTCCTCCAACAAGGGCCTGTCTTTCCTCCAACAAGGGCCTGTCTTTCCTCCAACAAGGGCCTGTCTTTCCTCCAACAAGGTCCTGTCTTTCCTCCAACAAGGGTCTGTCTTTCCTCCAACAAGGCCTGTCTTTCCTCCTGTCTTTCCTCCAACAAGGGCCTGTCTTTCCTCCAACAAGGGTCTGTCTTTCCTCCAACAAGGGCCTGTCTTTCCTCCTGTCTTTCCTCCAACAAGGGCCAGTCTTTCCTCCAACAAGTGCGCAGTTTGGGTGGTCACTACACCGTGACGTTCTGCTACACACATGCCCCACACAGGGAGAGGGGAGGGGGTGGGGAGGGGTTAAGTTACACGAGAGGGGAGGGGGCGTATGGGGTGAGGAGAGGGGGCGTGCGGGGCCAAGAGAGGGGGGTCTAGGATGTTATAAATAAATTCTAAGATCCTGGCGAGGACACAAAAGCGAATGGGAACCTGATCCCTCGGCCCTGATACTTGTACAGGACAAGAGGATGTACATGTACCCAGAGCTGTTAAAGTACTTTTAAAAAGGTACATAAGTACAAATGTAAGTACAATCTAAAATATGTACTTAAGTACAGTAAAAGTACTTTCCTGTGAAATGTACTTGAGTACAAGTACTTATGAGTACATTTTGAGTACTTTTTGCTAATATGTTTTTTCAGTGCTAAAGCAAAACATCATATTGAATAACATGTCCAGTGTATTTGAAAAATTGGGCCATTTGTAACTAAAAATATAAACAGTATACAAAGCATTTGAATATACAATGTACGCACTGAACGTAGGTGGGAATGGTCCGTGAAATAGAAAAAAAAACCCAGCAACAAACAAACAGACGCAACTAGTGAGTAAGTGATATTATATATATACAACTTGTTTGAGCAAGACAATGTGATCAAATGTAAGTCAGTCCTAGAGGTTGGAAAGTTCTACAGGAGAAGTATCCAAATTGGAAAATGTAGAGACAAAGTTGCTCTTAAGAAAACATAAACTTGATGAAAATGGCCAGCAAAGAAATGGAGAAAGTGCATTGAATTCTTCACTAACAAATCCTCAAGGAATCAAAGTAGCCTTAAGCAAAAACCACAAAAAGAACGTAAAAAGAAATTTACGTAGCCTAAAAAGTTGTTAGATATAGGCTACATCGAGAACCCAGTTTCACTTCCAATTTATAGAGGTAAGGCAGATTTTGGTCACACTGTGTAGTCCACGGCGCCCACGGCAAGCCAAAATACAGGTACATGTAGTTTCCTATAGTCTAGTAAGTGTAGTGTAACCAAAGATTCTCTACTACAGTAGTCTCCGCCTAAGATCCCAGTGCTCGGGAGCAAGGGAAATACGAGATCTTAGCCGACGAAGCCAAGGAAGAATCTACAGTGACCCATGAACTGACGTGACCCCTGAGTGGGTTTATGACATACGACGAGCAAAGAGCGGTCAACCTTGATCAATCATAGTGGCATGAGGCATGCCATTCACTCATCAGCCTTCTATCTTGAGTGTCGAGATCTTTATCCACGTTTATCCAGATGCCCCTCCCCTTTACCTGTCCAACAATTTTAGCCTCCCTCGTTATGCACCATTACGTTGTGACCACACCGATTAAAATTCAGCCTTATTCGGGAATAGAGAAAAACTGCCTTCAATGGTCAGGGAAGAGTTCACAGTTCAATGTGATCCCGCCTGGAGCGAACTTGTAGGTGTAGGCCCTACCCACCCAGTGAGTGATGTAAGTTTAGGTGGTGAGCTCAGGAGTGCGATGTCAGGGGAAAAGAAACGCATCGGTCAGTTCACACCTCGGTGTGATCCCGTCTGGGGCAAACATTGTACCGGTTCATGGCTCATGGAGTTTTACAACGCTTGTGATCACATTCACGAGAGAGGTTGATCTTTGACGCGACGGGCCGTTCTTTGATCTCAACTTTTAACTCTTGGTTGATCGGCTGTGCCCGCCCGGGTGTTTGTTCCGTAAATTATGATCAGAAATGCCGGCACATGACTCTTCCATTTAAGCTTCAAAAGCACTCAAAATGTACTTTAAAAATGCTCAAAAGTACTTTTATAAAAAGTATCAGAGTTGTTGTTTGTTTGTTTGTTTTTGTAAAGTGTTTTACGGCGCTCGCAACTGCATAGGTCATATGAGCGCGCGGGACACTCCTAATATTTTCAGTTGGTAGGAAATTTTGAATTTTGCCCGGGTGGCGGCCGAAGCCAACTCTTATCGATTTTAGACCACCAAGGGATCTTTAACGTGCGCAACTTGCACACGGGCCCTCCGAGATTTTTCGCCCTTGTCCCAGAAGGCTAGGTGTAGATCTTTCCTACCAGAAGATCAGGGGTGTGGCAGAAAGACAGCAGTAAGGAGGAGCCAAGGAGTAGCAGTAGAAAGGCTGCAGAGAGAGTCAGGAGCCCAGAGGAGGGGACAAAGGAGGTGAAGGGGTGGGGGCAGAAAGTGGAAATGAAAGCAGACGACAGAACATTGCTAGAGAGCAGGAAAGGAGGTGAAAGGAGACAATTTTAGAGCAGAAAATTTTTGGTCGCTACCCGGATTCGAACCCGGGACCTTTGAATGAGAGGCCAACACCTTAACCTCTAGGCCACGAGAGCCCCCAAGTATCAGAGTAGAGTAAAAATACCGGTTCTCAAAAATGTACCGGAGTACAGTAAAAGTACCAAAAATTGTAAGGTAAATACATGTACCGGAGTACTTGTACTCCATTACTACCAGCTCTGGGTATACGGTTTTACGCCTCTGTCAACACTATTTGGTTATATAAGAGGCGGGACCTCCAAGTTCAACGTCCATCTCCGAAAGGACAGAGCCAAGTGGGAATTTCGTGCAGAGTACCTTTCCCAAGGACACAACATCGGACCGAGCTGAACCTTTAAGAATCAAATTATCATGTCTATACGTGACATAATTCAAAAAATGTTTTCTCTTTCATCTGTTCTGGGAATTGGAACCATTGCTTGGGGTGTTTCTCAACAACAGCAGCAATGTTCCTTCAATTCATATTGGAATCTTTACTTCGTTGAGTCAATGATTCAAACCACCAAACAAAATTATACGATTACATTTATAATGAAAAAAGATGTGTGCCCAATAGAAAGGGCCCACTGTTTGGGAAAGAACATGAGGGTAAAAAAGGGAAACGACACAAGTGGAAAGACAAATGAAAGATTTTGTCAGTTGGGAAATGAAAGACATTGTGAATCTTCATGGAGTAAGAGAGAGAGAGAGTGTGGGCAGGAAGTAGGAAGTGCTGTTTCAGAATTTGTGAAAGGGGAGCTCTGGTTAAGTGAAAGGGGAGCTCTGGTTAAGTGAAAGGGGAGCTCTGGTTAAGTGATTTACAACTGCTGGCACACACATCAGTGATGTGAGCGGGGAAGCATTTAAGCTTACTAAAGTATCGGGTATCAAAAGCTTACTAAAGTATCGAGAATCAAAGCTTACTAAAGTATCGAGAATCAAAGCTTACTAAAGTATCGAGAATCAAAGCTTACTAAAGTATCGAGA